CGGCTGGAACTTATAATCCAAAGGTAGGCTCAATCTCGTCTAAAGCTTGTATCAAATGTCGTGCTGGTTGGTACAATCGGCGTACTGGACAGTCCTCCTGCCTCAGGTGTCCGACGGGCCATTCGTGCGTCTAACTTGTGGAAAACTCTCCGTTGCATCATTGAACGGATAGTACAAAAAGTCTGACAGAAATTGAATTGTTTTCTTTCTACAATGCGCTAGTCTAGCACTGCCACTAATCCAGAAATTAAATTACTCTTCGTTTTAATCTTGCTTTCTTGTCTCACGAGAGTTGTCGTTCCTTATCGTTTTAATTTCTCATTGAATTTGTTTTTCGAATAAAAGCTTCATGTAGTGAAATATATCTATCAGGTTCCGGCAAGGCAGAACCAACTGATTTTTAATGGTTTCCTTGATTTCCTTGATTGCGGATAATTTCTTTTGATTTCCAAAGATTTCAAATTCATTTTTAGCATCAATCAAAATTTCAGCTTTGTTTATATCATTTGAAAAATGTCTTTGATATTCGTTGATATTATGATAATTAGACATGCCATATGAACAGGTGAACTTTATTGAAGAAAACAATAATTCAAAAGAGTGAAACTACTGAGTGGCCCAAAAGTAGCAGAACAAATAATTTTTTCGATTTTTTTTCTTTGTGCATCAAAAGCTACATCTCATATTTATGCACGTATACTAGGTAATACTAGTCAGAGATGTGGCATATGATCAGCCTCTGGTCTGAGTAATTTGTTCCAAAGTATATAAATGTCTTAATTCCTCTTATGTGACTATATTAAAAATTCGCTGTTTTTCATGTTACATTCGGTTTTCATATTCTTGGCTGCTTATTGCAATCTGAGAAATAAATTCGATTGAATTAAATTTTGTATTCTTTTTGTCCAAAAGAGTTCAAAATCTGATCGAATCGAATTTGTTTCTCAGATTGCAATATGCAGACAAGAATATGAAAACCGAATGTAACACGAAAAACAGCGAATTTTTAATATAGTCACATAAGATGAATTAAGACATTTATATACTTTGGAACAAATTACTAAGTCCAGAGGTTGATCATATGCCACATCTCTGACTAGTATTACCTAGTATACATGGCATAAATATGAGATGTAGCTTTTGATGCACAAAGAAAAAAATCGAAAAAATTATTTGTTCTGTTACTTATTGGCCCACTCGGTATAAGTATGGCATAACAACAACATATTTATTGAAATAAAAACAATTCAAAATGCGACCTGTTGTTCATCTCTAATCCGTGATACTTGATCGGAGGATAATGAAGTTCTATCTTTTTTCAAAAGCCAGCAAGTAGCTTGTTTATGAAGATATTGTTTATCATCATTAATAATTACTTGAAAGTAAGTATGACCAAATTCTGCTTTCATATTGTCGACCAGTCTTATCCCACGATTTGCAGATATGGAAACATTATGTATAGTATCATAACTATCATCTAAATATACTTCTTCATCACTGCCATTATCATATGCAAGATTGTTTTGAATACTACTGTCTGTTTCGTCATCTGACTCAATATCTAAATATACATTTTTGCTGTTACTATCATCATTTTCCGTTATCGAAAACTCTTTCAGTCGAGATGAAATGGTATTACTAAGTTTTTGAATTGCTATTGTTTGTCCATTTCGTAACAACTGTTGGATTTTAAGTGGTTTAAAGAGATTAGTTACATATTTATATGCATTAAGAACACTATTTTTTAATATCAGCATTTGAAATAAAAGTTGTATTTGATGAGTTCGAGGTATTTCGTAATGCTGATGATACTTTATGATGTTGAGGAAAACGTAATTTGTTTTCATATGTGTTATTTTTGATATTTTGTAATGTGGATAATTTATTGATTCGATTAAGAAACTGTGAAGCAGTAAAGTTCACACCTGCTGAATTTATACTAGATATTGATCTAGCCGACCTAAAGGTACTTTCGCAAGTTTGAGAATTTTGTAACCATATATGAAGAGCTTCAAGAGGAAGTTGTCCTTCTGAGACAAGTACAGTAAGATATATAAGACTATGAGCATTGATTTCGACTGAGAAGTACTGTTGGTACCTGATAAAATATTTAAACTTTGTGCTACATTTCTATTTATTAGATGTGGTTTAGTCAGATAGTTGTGTGAAAAATAAATCAACATCGTGTTTTTCCATTGAATTAATCCACATAAATAAAATTGGAAAACAAACACCACGATTCACATATGAAATATCCGGTCCATAATATCTCTTGTTTTCTCTATATAACCGAGTTGAATGCTTTTGATAGCCTGTAACAAAAAACCATAGTTAATAGTTATTATCACAAAACTCTAAAATGATAATATATGACCTTGCTCAGATCTTTTTGTTTAGTAATTAAAAACTCGAGTTTTTGAAAAACAACGAAAACCTTTCCAATAGCTTGACAAAGGTGCTCAGACTATGTTGATCCTGATCAGAGATACTATCGGTTCGATTCCGTTCACAAACCGAACCGAGCTCATCTCTGATCCTGATGAAAGAGGTAATCATTAAAAATTTTCGATTAATATCAATCAATGTATTTGAGTATATCTAAACAACTTTCCTTAAATTCACTTCAAATAATTATCTATTTTCAAATTGAATAGGATCCGAAATTGCTTTATCTATTTTCAAATTGTTTCTGTTACCTACATTTGGATAAGTACTAATATTAATAGCATTTGGAACTTGTTCAAGAAAATTTAAAACGTTACCGTTTGAAATCTTTGTGCAAGATTTAAAATTCTGTTGATCCTTAGAATCAATATCATACCTAAGAAGTACATGATCAAATTTAGAAAATTCTTCAATTATATACAGAAGTGGTTCAATATTGATTAGTTGATTATCTAAAAGAGGTGTTGCCGTTTTTGAAAGAAGTCGGTTGCATAATTTTGTACATATATGGAACGGATCCTGTATACATACATATAACTGTTTGTATTGCATAAAAAACCGAGTCTAGCTGCTTGGAAGGTCAATTGTAAAAATATCTGGATGGTCATCATAAGTGAAATTACCAAAAAACCAAGAGATATTCTCATGACATGTAAATAACGACTGTCACAATCGATTGCATAGCCAATAATACGAATACTTTTAGCTTTGTATTCTTCATAAATATGATGCCAACGTAAAATAACATCTGATGATTCGAATTTATTATCTGTTCTGTACTCTGCAAGAAGATACGGCCAGATGTTGTTAACTGATGTAGAAAGTGGCTGGAGAAAGGAAACGTTGAGTGATTTTGTCTATGGTAGATCAGAATAGAATTGTTCAAAACGAGTGAACCAGTCCGTTGAATATTAGTTGATGATCGGAAGTCCATTGTCGTCAAACGGAAGCGAGAAAAAGATAAACGTATTTGACGTTGTATCATATGTGATTTTGGAAACAACTGCGGTAGAATCTTCCGCACAAAAACCTAACACTGATTGATTGATATTAAAATAATCATGAGCAGCGTTATAATTGAATAATCCTTCGGTTAGATGGTTTTCTGATGCATCAATATACGATTGGATAATCTGTATACTTGGAAGAAATGCAAGGGGGAAAACGGTGGATTTTCAGGATTGCCAATACTTGAAATCCCATAGAAATCCCTGAAATCCCATAGAAATCCCTGAAATCCCATCGTAATCTCACGATACCCTTAGAAATCCTGGAAGCTTGAGTCAATATAAACCAACTCAATATAGATATGAGCTTACCTTGGATGAAGCACGCATACTCTCATTTACTAAGTACTTTTAGACTCGATTCGTCGTAGAGAACCTGCTGCGACGTGAAAATTATTCGCAAAATATATTCTAGCTAAGATTTCAAAGCCTTTGTATCAGTATGATCAAGAAAGATTGCATATCAGATACTTCCTTGTGCAGTAGGTGATATCCTTGAACTATTAACAACGATAACGAAAAGTAAAACGAACATTTATATGAAAAAAGCTGAAAAGATTATAGTTTACAAAATGCTGCACTTCAAAAAACATTAATAAACAGTTCGCAGGCTAGAATTATATTTTCCATAGATAAATCCAGTAGTGAGAAAGAACCCACTAATTCAATTTTAGAATAATACTCTGATTTGAAACAAATATTTTCTTTTTTATGGATTTTGTCTTTTTATTTCGACTCAAGTATCTAATAATGTCATCAAACACATTATTTCTTGATACATCAGTTTTACCAACTGAGGTACTTTCGTTTTACAATGATACTTTCTATTGAATGGTGGAGAAAATAGCTGGATCAATTGAAGCAAAATTATTGGAGACACAGGATGTTCGAAGTGTGTACTTTTTCCTCAATACAGAAGACGTCTTCGATATTCTTTCAATACCATGTTCTCCTTTAAAAGATATAAAAATATTAGTTTGTCTCGTAGCTGATGATAATACTTTCATAGTGAAACCAGGATGTCGAAGCAGCACTCGTTATCTTCATCAGCTACTTCAACAAAAACATGAAGAACATTTGAAAGAGATAACACTTAAAGCAAAAAGACACAAACAAACAATTATACATCAAAATAATACAACAATTACGGATCTTTCTCAAGATCCGACTCAAACAGTTTCAACACCTTCTGTTCATCAACACTCTATGGAAACAGCAGGTTATACTTTATTTTCAATTGATTCTAGTTCTACTACTCAAGATAGCAAGGGGGGAAAAGCGGATCCCGGGATCCAATGGAGTCCATTGGGATCCATTGGGATCCAGCAGTGGACAACAAATCGATCGGTGAGATAAATGCACATTTCCAGCGGAAAAATGCCATCCACGTCAAAAATGAATTTTTTATCCATTCTGTTCATAAAAGACGACCGTAACATACAACATATATACATATGCGTCCACATTTCATTTGTATCTCATTCTTCTATGATTACCATTCAGAAAAGGAATACGTGTGAAAACACCCCCCCCCCTCCCTTAGACACTAAAATTTACGTCATATCACAGATCATCTAATTTTCACCATTAAGTTGACAATCTACAAGATACTATCACCATGCCATATTCACTTCGGCTAACCGACAATAGGATCATTTATCTCTTAAGATACAGAAAAAAATGCGTTTCTTCGAAAAAATTCTCTTCCAGCGGTGAGCATGGCTTCAATTGATTTTCATTTTTCACCTACAATAATACTATATACTATAAGAGTGCCATACTTCCTTTGCACAAATCTAACTAAACGCAATCTTCTTAAATGACACTAGATTACTGAACCTATCTACATCATTTTTCTATACAACTGGGAAGTTTTTCCAAGACTTGTTGCTTTCTCGTGAGGTATTCTCTTTTCTAATTCATTTTCTCTGTCTGACACTACTAACCATTATCTCCATCATCTTCATTTTTCCCATCAACAGGTATCTATCTACGAATTGAAATATTTAACAA